GTAATTTATTTTGGGAAACTAAACTACGTAAAACAGAAAATGCGGGGTGACCTAGCCTAGAATGCCAAATGGAATCCGACACTCTAACACCAACAAATGCAAAGACTCCATTGTTAACCACAGAAGAACTTGCAAATGGATAAAAACCATTTCTACTCTGGCCTTGTAAAAGCATCTTCCCCGTTTAAAGGTCTTGGACATGGTAAGTGTAACATCCCACATCGCCCAGGGGAGTGGATCTTGTAAGCCTTATATGTATATTCTCATCTCTACCTAGCACGAGGCCTTTTGGGAGCTCATTGGCTTCGGAGTTCATCGGAACTCTGAAGTTAAGCGAGTTTCCGCGAAAACAATCTCAGGATGGGTGACCCATTGGGAAGTTCTCGTATGAGTTCCCAGAAACAAAACCGTGAGGCATGGTCAGGGCCTAAAGTGGACAATATCGTGCTACGGTGGAGTCGAGCCCGGGATATGGTGGAGGCTCAGGTCAAGATGTGACAATTTGGTATCAGAGCCAATCCCTGGCTAGAAGTGTGCCGATGAGGGCATCGGGCCCCTAAGAGGGGTGGATTGTGACATCCCACATCGCCTAGGGGAGTGGATCTTGTAAGCATTATATGTATATTCCCATCTTTACCTAGCATGAGGCCTTTTGGGAGCTTACTGGCTTCGGAGTTCATCGGAACTTTGAAGTTAAGCGAGTTTGCGCGAAAGCAATCCCAGGATGGATAACCCACTGGGAAGTTCTCGTGTGAGTTCCTAGAAACAAAACCGTGAGGGCGTGGTCGGGGCCCAAAGCGGACAATATCGTGCTACGATGGAATCGAGCCCGAGATGTGGTGGGGGCCCAGGTCGGGATGTGACAGCAGGAATTAGGATAAAAGGTTAGTGAACAATGGTTGTCTTTGGTAAATTGATTTATGAAAATAACATTAGCAGAAGCATTAGGACAGTTTAGGGTGTTGGGGAAAGTAAAGGAGTGATTGGGCGTGTGAATAAAAGAAGTGCCAACATGAGAAATCTGCAAACCTGAACCATCAACCACGCCATTGACATTGTCGGTACCAGTGTAGGGATGAGGATTCGAAACTTGATTCAAATCATTTGTGATATGTGCATTTGCTCCAGAATCAAAGAGCCAGTTTTGAATGCCAGAGGGAGACGCAACAAGAGGAGGTGCAACAGCAGCATAAGCTTGGAGACGTGGAGCAGGGACACCTCATTCATAGGCCATGTTCAGCCGATTGAAACAATCAATTGCAGAATGTCCATGATGATGACATATTTGGCATTGAATGCGACCGCCATTTTAGGATGGAGAAGGATGAACACCGAAAACACCATCATGAGCGGGTCGGGGTTAAGGAGCATGTTGTCCTTGGCCTTGAGGATAAGGAACAAACTGACCACGATCATCATTGAAGTGACCATGACTACCCTAGGAGCACCACGACCACGGTAAGGTCTTGAATGTCCTCCTCCAGCTGCAAGGGCAGTGGGCACATTTTCAAACACTGTATGAAGCTTTTGACGTCTTTCTATGCTGAGAAGAAGAGCCTCTAAGGCACTGTAAGTGATGGCCTCATCCCGTGCTTGTGTAGAAGCAACAGTACTCTCATAAGCAAGCCCAACATTATTTAAAATGGCAATGAGATTAGAATCAGAGACAGGGAGAACAAGAGAGGGAGATAGTTGGTACAGTCCAACTTTATAGTCAAAAAGTTGGAAGCATTGGGAAGAGAGGGAATAGCGATGGAGTTTGAGGAACTGGAACTGGACGCCATGGGAAGAAAAAAAATGAAGCTTTTGGTCATTAGATTGTCAGCTCTGAGATACCATAAAGGTGATTTGAAAACTAAGTTATAGCAGGTTGATGAGTTGTATAAGCTCAGCTCAATATAGAGTGAATGTTCATTCATTTCTTTATATAGAATTACAAATGATGAGGTTGTTACACTTGAAAGATAAATACAAATATTTGAATCAGATACAAAAGTATTTGAAAGATGATTGGGGATAAGCCACCAGGATGGACCCATTGTTCAAAATTTCTTAATGAGAAAACCAACAATTAATTGACTAAGCTTGTGGAAAAGAAATGTGTCAAAAGATTGGGAGATGTGAATTTGATGAATTGTGTTGCTTCCAATTTGCTCCTGACTGTTATCATATGTATGTATAAATCATAACTGTTTGTATAGATACATGGGCATCTCAAAAGCCATCTGTTATTAAAAAAAAAAAAAAAAATGATTGGGGATAGGCCACCAGGATGGACCCAATGAAGAGACATCAGCTCAAGCAAAATCACATGGACTTTTCAATATAAATACTTAGGCTATCAGATAGTATTCCTTTTGGAAGGATGAATATAAGCCTAAAAGAAAACAAGGCATTTTCTTCTGCAGGTGGCTAATTAAACATACAAGTTTTCGAAGTCACTTGCTAACTAATTTGCTTCTTGTTTTTCATGTTCAAACCCAGAAAAAGGGTCTATGTGTCGGACAATATCTCAAGTAGTTGGTGTCAGTGGTCGTGAATCAATTTAGCATTTGATCAAAGTTCACATGCCTCTGTCTTCCGATTCATCACCATGACTCCTTGGTAGGGATTAAGACTTCATATTTGCCTACTATTAACAGTAGTGTAGAGAAGCACAAAAATGCAGAAAGAGAATAAAAGAGAGAAAGTAATTGATTACATTGATACTGAATTTTTATCTTTACAACTATGAGAATACAGTTTATATAGCCATCATGACTAACTTGCACCCTAAGCTATTTAACTAACTAATTTTGGTAACAACTCTAACAACCTTTGGATATTGTCAACATCCCCCCTCAATCTCAACTGGGATTGCCCAGTTTGAGATTGAAGCAGACCATCCAGCAATCAACTTCTTACAATCACATAAATCAAGAAACACAACCTTCTTCGGCAATCGGCCTTCAATGAAGAAAGGGAACAAGAACTGCACTCCGGCAATCGGCCTTAATGGAGTTGCACACAATAACAACAAACAAATTTTTTTCTTTTTCAAGAATGTTACTCCGGCTATCGACCTTTAAGGAATAACACACAATATCTGAGACAGAACTGTTCACTCCGGCTATCGGCCTTATGGAGGAAACAAAATGCATTCAACACACTCTTGGCAATCGGCCTTTTTCGAGTGCACAAATCTAAACAAATCTGAAGTATACGGCTATCGGCCTTGACACTTCCAAAATTCCCAAGAAAATTCTCACTGAGACGTTATCACAAACAGTTGATATGCTGGAAAGAAAATTAGTAATCTAAGACAAAACCTGAAAACTTGAACCTTGAAACCCAGAACACACTGTCCTTACTCCGAATCACTTGCAGACACTTCCTTATCCTTTTCTCTCCCTCTCTGTTCGCAGTTGTTGAAGCCCGGAGACGCAAAAATAGCGACGGGGTTGATACGAAATCAACAGAGAGATGGAATTTGGGTTCAAGAAAGACGAAAATGTGATCATTCCCAGCTGGGTTTTGGAAGCTCGATCTGAATCCATCAAATGGGTTCTCAAGAAAGAAGAGCCAAAATCTGCAAAGAGGTTGCTTTCGGCGGTGTGCCTGTCGTTGGCGGCAAAGATGGAGGAGTTGGACGTGAAGCTTCCATCACTGTCACAATACGCCGTCGGAACCCAGACAACCCGAAGAAGCCGGAAGGGATCTGCGGCGTCGGAGGTCCACTCTCACCTTCCGGCGATCTTGCCAGGAAGGGATCTGCGGCTCCTGCGTCATGAACATCGACGGCTGCAACGGCCTGGCCTGCCTGACGAAGATAGTGCATGCTACGACTCCAAGACCCGTTACGATTTCGAAAACCCAGATATCACTTTATTTCTGAAATCACAGACTACGCATGGAAGATGAAAAACCCAGATGTGATCTTGACTTCATTCTCTCCTTCTTCTTCCCTTATCAGCATCTCTATCAGTGAAGAAGGTTTTAGGGATTTTGACCGCATCGACGGCGACTGCATTGTCTTCTAGAAATTGAAATTTTATATATGAACCATGCCGTTCATGGCCTTTGGCTCTCTGCAGTCCATAATAATCTCATCCCCTGCTTTCCCGCAAGGATTACCAGAGCCCTGCATTGCTGTCTTCCTGAAAGAGACGCTAAACGCCATGTTGTATCTCCATGGCCAGGGACACGCCCACGGCGACATCAAGCCCGGAAACATCTTGGTTGACTCTGATGGGTCCGTCAAGCTCACCGATTTCGGGGTCTCTGCTTCTTTCTACGGCGCCGATCATTCAGCTGGGAATGTTGGGGTGGGAGAGAGACAGAGTCTTGGTGACGAATTTTCGGATTTCGGAACACCCTCAACATCTTGTTCTCTGAGGATTTAGCCCATGCTAAGAATCAGATTCAAGAAAACCCGGAAGGAAAGTATTTCTGGCATTCGAAGCAAGAAACGGAGAAAGAACCCAAGAACAATCACAGAAGCACCGAAAATCAAATGAAAATTTGGAAAGAAATTAAGCTATATACAGATGAAAACTAATAGGAAATGGAACCACCAGAATCAATGGCGTAAGCCTGGTGGCTCTGATACCATATTAACAGTAGTGTAGAGAAGCACAAAAATGCAGAAAGAGAATAAAAGAGAGAAAGTAATTGATTACATTGATACTGAATTTTTATCTTTACAACTATTAGAATACAGTTTATATAGCCATCATGACTAACTTGCACCCTAAGCTATTTAACTAACTAATTTTGGTAACAACTCTAACAACCTTTGGATATTGTCAACACCTACCAATCCAAAATAAATGTTGGAAAGAGAAACAGTTAATTTGATCCACAGATTTTGCTTAAAGGGCCGTTAAGCATGGGAAGACAAAACCATGTGATCCCTCATGAGCTCCTGTTCCCTTCTATACCCCATCTGGATTGTCTTCACCACATATTTTCTTCAATAGAGGATATTGTACAAGACTCTTCAACTATATATACCTATGAACTCATTGGTTAATGACCACCAAATTAAGTCTACAACATCTCAAGTCTAATTTTCCTTGTTTCACAAGTTCATCGACATCTTCTTCAAGTTTTTATAAACTTGATTACCAGTCTTTCCTCTCAAGATAACAATGGGGTTCCGTCTTCCATCTGTAATTCCTGCTAAGAAACTTCTTCGACGGTCTTTTTCAAATTCAAGTCAAGAAGTTTCGAATAATTTAGCAGATGTCCCAAAAGGTTATTTTCCAGTTTATGTTGGCAAGAGTGAGAAGCAGCGGTTTGTTGTTCCTATATCCATCCTCAACCAGCCTTCATTTCAAGACTTGCTAAGTGAGGCTGAAGAAGAATTCGGATATGATCACCCAATGGGCGGTGTAACGATTCCCTGCGGACAAGATACATTCCTTGTTCTCATTTCCCGCTTGAGTGCCTTGTGAGACTGGATGCATAATGGAGAACAATTACATGAACTCTGTGATTGTTACAATTTTGTACATTGGAAAAGTTCCACATCTTGTACATTTTCTTTTGATCCAGGAGGAAGAATAATTGTCCCCCTGGGATCAGATTATGTAAATGTAGACTGTAGCAATATTCATATGTTCTTTACAATAAAGAATTATTGTCCCCCTGGAATCGGATTATGTAAATTGATTATTATCTTCTACAGATTCTTAATTGAGTTTCCATTTGGATCACTTTCAATAGCTATTAGTATACTAATGAGCTAGATAGTATTCAAAACTTTCAGTAGGAGTAATCTCCTTTATATCTAATTGCGACTTTAATTTGATTGAACATGGGAATTTCCTATGACATATAGAAATGTAATAAACTTTTATAAAAATCATTGTTTCGAGCGCAGTCCTAAATCTTTTCCCCTAACCATTGCGTCTAGCCCATTAGCAGGTTTAAAGACAATAATGGCTTAACTGAGTATACAAGAACTCATTTACAACCTCGTTAGCCCTTCATTTGGAAATCCATATATTAGGACAGTATACAAGAATTAGTAGCAACGGATGAATTCTCTGACTTGATTCATCGATGCTTGTCATGCAGGATTAAACATGGATTGGTAGTTAGTACTAGTATTCATTTGGTGAGATCAAAGGATTGTTACTTGTATATATTTTAAGTTGTTCCCTGTGGTGATTAGTGACATTTCACGGCCAGTTCAACAAAAAAACGTGTAAATGACCAAGGAAAGAAGGAAAATATATAGTACATGCTCAACTATCTTTGCAGAACAAGTAACAGGTGCAAATGTGTGATATTTTTCAAGTTCATATTACATGCTTGTCGTGATGTCAATAAATCTATGTCTGTTTGGCTGACCGTTTTATCCTCAACTCTCAAGCAGTTTGAAATTGTAGCCCGTGAGTTTATCAAAAGCCTCTTCCATCAGAAGATATATACTACAAGAAAAAGGCCCTTTTGTGACCTTTTTTTTTTGCGACATATAACATGACCATCGCAAATAAAAGAAAATTTGAGCGCTAAATTTTAGCTCAAAAGTATTCCCGACTCTTGTACAAGTAACGTTGCAAATAATGTTGTAAATAACAAATATAAGTGACACTGAGTAAAGTTTGCGACACTCTAAACGACAAAATAAAATTTAGCACCTAAATTTTTTTATTTTTCAATTAGCGATTTATTTTTAGATGAAAACAATCCCCTTCATTTTAATTCTCTAGAATCATCCTTCTTTTCCTGCACCTTTTCCACTTGGAGGAGGAATCTCTCACCTCCTATTCTCTCTTCCCTTCCCTCCCCTCAAACCCTTCCTTTTTGAATGGTCACGATTAAGCCACGTCAACATCTTATATTGATTTTTTTATAGAGATAATAAGACAAAAAGCAATGTGTGAGAGGAAGAGAGAGAAGGAGATGGGAATAGCAGATGAGAGAATCTACTCCTTTCCACTTTCCTATTCGACTAAAAAATAAGAGGCCTAATCTATCAAATCAGAGATTTTAGGGAATCATTGGAAACTTTGGAGCAAAATTGGAGATCCCGGAGCACAATCGGAGATTTTGTAAGACACTACAACCGGAGGTGGATTGTCTACCCTTCCATTTTCATACTCTCCCCATGCCCTCCTGTTCACTCGACGCATTTCTGAGGGGTGCGGCTTAAGGGTCCCCCATGGCTATGGTGGACGCCAGGCTCGTATATTGGGGAGGGGTCTCAAGGAGAAGGTCATCGCTTTGTGTCATAAAGTTGCGAAATTGGGAGATCATGCTGGGTAGTGGAATTTGAGAATTTTCTATTTGCAAGGTATTAATTTTACCAATTATCTTCTATTTTAGTATTTAAATTATGAAAATATGTGATAGAATTTTAGTATTATGGAACTGAAATTTGCTAGTATAAATCTGTTTGCGATTGTACGTGTTTCAATCAGTGCATTAGTTCGATTATACTGAGAAAACTAGTTGTCCTTAAGTTGGATAGAACGGCAAAATAGGGTCAATGTTAGTGTACTGCTGTTTGGGATTAGGAAAATTGATTTTGAACTGTTAGCACATTTGGACCAGAAAGAAGTTCGGGGGAAATTGAATTCTTCATTGTGAAAATATGATCAATTTTTGGTCCCAGAATTAGATGAAATGTGTAATATCAACTAGGTTTCCAATTCATTCGGGGTATGGTGGAGAGTTTGGTTAATCACTCTGCTTTGAGAATGTCCTTGTGCAGGTAAACACTATTATTTGTGAGCATGGCTCTGTATAGTACCGTCCGAGGTCCCAACGATAAATTATATTCAAAACATATGAATATTCTTATATTTGGATATGTTTTTTTTTATTGTGTTGTGGTGATGGTATTGAAAGTTGAGCTCTCAAATCATTACCTTCGAGCATGAGGGAAACTGGAGTAAGGCCCTCGAGTACTGTGGATCTTGGTTCCAGAAGTTTGTCAGTGGAAGAGACTCAATCAACATATCGTTTATCCACACCCACATTGGAAAATGCAATGAGGCAGAGGAAACCATATAAAGGTTTGATTGGGTCATTGCAGCAAACTGGTTGTATGCATGTTCTGGATTTGTATTGCCAAGGATTTATATGCAATGGATATGTTTGGAATTCTAGTTAGCCATTTTTCTTGCTAGTTTAATTCTACAAGTACCAGTTTTCCTGATATATCTGATATACTATTTGCAATAGGAATGTTCCATATAAGTGAAGAAATCGTAATATGTCATGCCCCGACCCTGAAATATTTATTTTTGGGAAATAGTTCCAATGATAGGCCCAATTCAATTCTTCTGTTTGATTTATTAAACGTTCACACAATTTATAACTAGAATTTAAATATACAAAACATAAGATTTCCTTTTATAATAATATTCCAAACTCCTTACGTAGTTTAATTTCTCAATCAAAGCTTTGTCTCGTTTATTTAATCTCACTTATTGTATGGCTGCATCTAATGTCTCATTAGACTGCCTACGTACCCTAAACAGGGATCAAGCCATTCATAGTTCACATATACAAAAATTCAAACCAAATCCAAATATATTTATTTAATCCAACATATACCACAATCGTATTAATATTCAAAACACAGCAGTTTGGTCTCAAAGGTATAATTAGAATAACGAAATTCGTTTAAAAGCATAAAGTCGGCTCCCTAGCCTTGCGCCGCGGCACTCGCCGCCATGGGTTGCGGTTGGCCGCTCTGGCTTGTCGAAAAATTCAACTATTTCTAAAAAGTACCAAATTTTACAGGTAAATAGATCTCAGTGAGGGGAACAATTTTCATACCTGTGGCCAAGTCCAATTTGGCCGGGAAACAACTGAAAACTACCTTGAACCGCCAGAAACCCTTGAATTTGGGTGTGTTCGATTTGACCTCAAACGAACCCTGACACCCCCAAACTTGTTTGCGCCTTGTTTTTTAGCTCAAGAGGGTACTAAAGGTGGTGGTGATTAAGCAAAAATGTTTCAGATTTGGTGAATCTCCACCTAAGGCCGACGCACCCACCGTGGGTATTTTCCTCAAAATTGAACTTCGTCGGTTTAAGTGTGAAAATGGACGAGGGATCGATTGGTCTTGGAGTGAAGGTCATTTTGGAACTATTGCCGTCATCAACGGTGGTCAGAAATGGAAAATTTGGCCGGGTCGGATCGGGTCGGTGGGCCGAGGGAGGGTCCGATTGTCCCTTTCTTTTCTCCCTCCTTTCTTTCTTGCCTCATTGGCCTATTCTTCCCTCCTTTTCTATCTTTTCTCTTCTCTCCTTCTCATCCTAGCCGTCCATTTCTTTCTTCCCTTTTCTTTTCCTTTCATCCCAGCTACATACATGGCATATCACATGGCTCTAGATTTTCCGGAGCATTCCAAAGAAGTTTAAAATTACCAATTTATCCCCGACTTTAAATGTTAATAACTTCTTCGTTATAACTCCGTTTCACGAACGGTTTGTGCCCACACGTTCGTGAGATCGAGCTCTATTCAAAAATATAAATTGTGACCTCAAATGGTTCATGAATTTTAAATAATAAATTTTCAAACTTCAAACTTTGTACATTATAATAATTTCCGGAATTAAAACTTTAAAATTTCCCAATTTCTATTTTCATAACCATAAATCGATTTATCTTTTTTATCTTCTTCGCATATTCATAATTATGAATAGATAATTCACATATTTAAATTTTCAGGGTATTACATTCTCCCCCCGTTAAAATAAATCTTGTCCCTGAGATTTCAACCTTCAAGTTACGAGAAGGAACTAGCACCATTTCCACCATTTCCTTTATGGTGAATAAAATTATAACATCTGTCTACGATTTTATTCAAGTTAGAAATAAATAATCAATGAAGAATTCATTGTGATTCTCACACATTTTCTCAGTTTTCCAACCACATTACTTGATAAGTAAAAATACCATAACTTCTAGCCACATACATTGACAAAATAAATATCGTAAATTCTAGTTGGAATCGTCAGTGGCTAAGTAAACATCACAATGTCAAGCTCAACCACTACAATTTACAAATCCCTTAACAAAAATTCCAACCAAAATCATTTGAATTTCAACCCTCATTACTCACCACTACATTAAAATAAAGATCCGCAATTTCCGTTAGAATGAAATCAAAATCTCATTCCTTGATTTCCTTCATTTTCGCCATTTACTTAATTACACGTAGCAAAATTAAAAACTTTATCTTTTCTTTCTTCTCCTCTCCGTTGATTAATGAACGGGCATGGATACCAAATATATATACGTTCTTGAACTCTTTCTAGAAGAGCTTCCCACACATGAGCATGAACCGGACAGGGATCTCCAAAAGATATTCAAGGACTACTAAACGCCCTAATTATAAAGAAACCAATACTTGAAATTAACATGCATCAACCAATCAAGGCACGGGTTGAACTTGAGAATATGTTCATCTATTGCATTTGAACTTAGGGCATTCGGGATTACACACACAATTAAAATATCGTTATTAGAGTGACATAATATATGTCTTAGAAAATGTTGTGTTTCCTCTTGTAAAAATTCAATTGTTTGAGGGCACTTAAAGAGGGAGATTACAATGAATTACATGGAAAGCTGAAATATTCAAAGCAGGTGATATGAGTGTCAACTTTGTCTCCCCCACAAGTTGGACATGTATAATTTTACTTATGATGTGTGTTCATATGTTTCAGGAGCTTCGCAATCTGTTTCTAGCGCTATGTGTTCATATGTGTCAGGAGCTTCGCAATCTATTTCTAGCGATGTGTGTTCATATGCGTCCAGAGCTTCCCAATATGTTTCAAAAATGTCACTTGTTGCGGGTTCTAGATAAAGACTACATGATACCGTTGGTGTATAATACTATAATTGATATGATCATTCAACTAACTTTAAGTGCAAGTGCAATGCTGATTTCATACTTTTGTTGGTACTTCTATATGATAATACATTGTATTATAATTTACCTAATTTATAATAATAATTCGTATGTAGTGCCCATACTTTTGTACCCATGCTTTTGTTCATTATTAATAACAATTCGTATGTAGTTTATAGAAATTTACATAATTTATTTTAATTTGGAACCTATAGTAAATTTCACATAAAATAATTTTGATGAAGTTGTTAAAATAATGTCATTGTGGCGTCCCATTTGATGCCCAATTTTTTTTAAACCTAAGGCCACTTATTTGCGACGCGTAGGTAGCCATCGCAAGCCCATAGTAAATAGTACTTGCAACATGCTCAAAGCATCGCATATAATAGACCAAACATTTACAACACCACTTTGTTGAGAAGCATTATTGGCTATCGCAAGTCCGTCGTAAAAGGGCTACCGTGATGTTTTTAGATGCTTTCACGATGCTTTTTGACCGTCCCAATAGACCATTTTTTTATAGCGACATTTGGAACCCAATATTTATCAGAGTAGATAACCTTATTTCTTTTGCAAGTATTTTAGGCGTTTTTAACCTTTTTTGCATGTGTGGTAAAAATCCTATCAAGTTGGTATGAGTGGTCGTGAATCAATTGAGTTAATACAGGTATGACACATTAGCATTTGATCAAAGTTCCTCTGTCATCCGATTCAACACCATGACTCCTTGGTAGGGATTGAGACTTCATATTTGCCTAACAATAAAAAAATAAAGGGAGACTTTGAATGTGATCCTTAGTTATGGATATTCTTTGATTGAAACCTTGTTGTCACATCCCGGCCCGGGCGAGACCACTTCCTGGGCCCGACTCCACCGCCGTAGCACGATATTGTCCGCTTTGGGCTCCCAGCACACCCTCACGGTTTTATTTTTGGGAACTCACAAGCAACTTCCCAGTGGGTCACCCATCATTTAAGGATCACTCCCCTGGGCGATGTGGGATATCACATTGTTAGTTTTTAATTTTTGATCGAGGTCCCTGAAATTGATGTGATAATTTATTTCTATGTACGTTACTATATTTTTTTTTTAAATTAAAAATTAGAAATTTTAGTTGTTTATATAAATGGGATTTTAAATAAAAAAACCATAATTTGTGGGATTAAAAATATTAAAATATAAATATACTATTGTGTGTGTGTGTGTGTGTGTAAACATGGGAATATTCTTCAAAATCACCAAAAAAAAAAAATATATATATATATTAGGCTTAATAACATTAGTAAATTTCTTCGATTAAACTTGACATGGATACATTTTAAAATCAAAGAAAAAAGAATGTATCCATATAAGTTTAAAAATGCATTAGAAAAAAATTGAATAGATTTTATATATATAAAAAGGGGGTACATTTTACATATAACAAATTGGTATACTTAAGAATGAGTACATTTTAAGATTAAAAAGTTTTACATGAATAGGTACATATAATTAGCATGGGTACATTTAGCAAAATAAAAAGTACAAATAAAAAAAAAATATGGGTACAAATACAAATAAACTTTAAAAAATATGGGTACGAAAAGAAATTAATATATGGGTACAAATTAAAACTTAAAAGAAAATTGGTACAAGTTAAAAAAGAATTACAAATTAAAAATGGGTACAAACTAAAACTAAAAATATATGATAAAAAATTTAGTCATAAATATAAATATACAAATTGTAACATTGTTAACATTAAATGAATATATTTAGAAATAAAAAAATATTTTATTATTGAAATAATTAATGATGTTATTAATACCCAAGCTGGAGACTGTTTGGCTTCCAACATCTAGCGGGTGTTATTCCTTGTGTCTCTTTCACGTCATGTTTTTTTACATGCATAGAACATTGACTTCACATGAATGATTAACTTACGCAGAGCAAGGACAGTGCATGTTAGAAGGATTTAGGGATCAGAACTAATGTAGAATTGGTTGCTGTTTCATCTTTGGTTTATGACAGGTAGGAAAAAGCAACCATGTTTCCTATAGTGCAGTTGCCCTGAAATGTTGTAATCCCTGCTGAGAGCTTAGATATGAAAGAATTGATGCCCCAAAGGTCGTTTGTAGTGCACCTGCTGGAGGATCTTGTATCGAGAAAGGCAACGAAAGATTTGTGATACTATTTAGTTCTCACAACTCTGGAGAGCGTAGGAGAGGGTAAAGTGAGGCAGCACACTGGGACGTGTTGTTTCCAGTTGTTTTAGCGCCATCACCTTCAAGTTTTCTGGGGAGAGATTGCAGAGGGGGTTGTTCACAAGTTGTTAAGCATGGAGTTTTTGAGATTTATTTTTTATTTTTTAAATCTAGCGGCGAATATAATTAAAGGCCAAAAGGCCAAGAAGTAAAAAGACTGATTATACATGGGAATGATCCTCCTCAAACACAGGTCATAAACACTGCCTGGGCGTTTTTCAAACCAATTACAACGAGAGTTAAAATAAGAATCAGTCGAAGTAAGTGCGGCACTACTCGAGTCAGGCGATGTGTGACTTCGTTTGCAGCGGATATGTGCGACTTCTTTGATTGAAAATGAAGTCAATGGCCCATCGGTAATGCGTTTTCTTTCTAAATTTCCCATGCATTTACTAAGACGTAAAGAATCGAAAAAACTTTAGCTAAGGAAATTTTTAAGGCCTTTCATATTTCTAAGGCCTTTCATATTTTGACCATGAGTTTTCTTTCTAAATTCCATTTCTTTACTTTTCCTATTTCTAAGGCCTTTCATACCTTCCTATTTTCATTTCTGTTAAGTAACATGCTTGGATCATAGAAAATGTAAACAAGGAAATTTTTTGAGTAATGACGTGAAGATATATGGTATAAATCATTAAAATCGATATCTATTTTATTGCTCAGTATTTCATAAGAATGCAATAATGATTTACAAATAAAATCTGAGTCTTCAGGCCAAGAATAAAAGAATAAATGTAGAATGAAATCAAGAAACGACCAACATGGGAAAAATTGGACAACTGCTGCTCTGAATCTCTCATAGAAAGTAGATCAAATCTCTTATAGGAGATTGACCACTTCAATTGTCCTTGACGCGCAGGTGATCCAAGCAAGGCACCATGTAGGCAGCGGGGCTTGCCTGAAGTTCCATGAATTTCTCATATGTCATTCCAATGTACTTTGCTGTTTCACCTTCCTTTTCTAGCAACTCCGGGATCGGTAGAGTGGGCGTGTCCAGTGCCGGTCCATGTGGTACGGCGATCGATATCCTCGTTGCTGTGTTGTTCACAGTTGCTCGATGCCATATGCTCTTGTACTTGTCGTTTGTCAGAATCTGCATTTGATCACCAACGTTAACAATAAAAGAGCCCGGAGCGGAATTCACCAAGACCCACTTATCATTGTGCTTGACTTCAAGGCCACACATATCATTCTGAATCAACAGCGTCACTAGTCCGTGATCGGTATGAGGAGGAATACCGATTGCCAGGTCGGGCTGCGGGCAAGCCGGGTAGTAATTCGCTGCCAGAATTTGCAAGCCGCGATCCCAATTCATGGCCTTAGCAATGTAATCGGACTCCAATCCCAAGCTCTCTGATATTCCACTCAATATTTCGGTTGCCACTGCTCGGGTTCTTTTGCTGAACTCCAATGAAACCTCACCATATCCAGCCGGTTTGTAGAGTGAGTTGAACTCGGGGTGTGCGATGACCTTCAGATAATCCCTCCAGAGGCGAACTTTGTCGATTGCGACATTGAAGCTGGTGCCGCACTTGATTGGGTCCAGCAGGTTCCTTGTTTGGAACTCCTTCTTCTCCTCCTCCGGCAGCTCAAAAAATCTTTGGCACGCATCAACCATTGCTTCCATCAAGCTCTCTGGTACACCGTGGTTGATCACCTAAAAGACATCATGCGTATGAAAATAATTAATTCATATTTCATTATTATTAGCATTCTTCAATTAATTTGCCACATGTTCAAGCATATATTAATAACTAGTAAGTGTATATTACAAAAGTCAAATATTGAGTTTGTATCGTAGAATGACAAACTGTGAGTGTGAATACCTGAAAGAAGCCCCATTCTTGGCAAGCTCTGCCTAGCTTCTGGATCATTTGTGCCCGTTGATCAGGGTAGGCAGAGGTGAGAAGAGCAAAATCAATGATGGGGATTGAATGTTCTGGGTCGTTTGCATCTCCCATGTCGTTGGGATTTTTGGTGTAGGTGTACTCGGAAGGTACAGAAGTGAGAGCAGCTGAGTCAGCTAGGGTTTTGATGCTTGCTACTTTGGATTCATTACCAATTGATGCCTCCATTGAAGTCATTGAAGGTGCCATTGTGTGTGTGTCTGAGAGAGAGAGAGAGAGAAAGAGAGAGAGAGAGTATGCTTGTCTTGAGATTGGGGAACTAATCAGTGTGTTTGCGTAGGGATGGACGGCTAATACAGAATGGTTTATTTTTATAGGCAAGAAATCTTTATTTTTTTCCCACATGAAACCAATGTTTATATCTAAATTTAGTTTAAATTTGTAGGACAAGTTACTCGATTAGGTCTCCAAGCTTGACCAAGGCTTCCAGGCTGCCAAATAATAAGTTTAGTTTTCTATTTATAGGGCAAGAGACACGATAAGGTCTCCAAGCTTGACCAAGTCTTCCAAACAGTCAACCACTTTCTCGGTCTCCCTTGCACTGGAGTCTGGCCTTTTCTTTTCTTGACCTATGCATTCTCCAACTACTTCCACGATCTAAGGACTTCGTCTCTTGAACATCAAAATCTAGAGACAGGTTATCTCTTTGAATCAGTCTTCCAGGCTGTCAAATAACAGTAAAATGATTCGTAAAACAAGTTTTCATTTTACAGATACATAAACTAATGCTTTTGGCAGCTTGTTTACTTAAATGAACTCAATGTAAAACCATTTGTGAATGACAATGAATTATGCCAAGAATCTTTGAGATAGTTGACTTGGTAATCAAGTCAATGAAATCTTTTATGATTCTCGGAGTCTTAAAGGAATAAACATATTGGAGTCCTAATTACATGCAATCAAGTATGGGCCTTTTATTAAGAGAATACAAGGTATAAGAATCATGATGGGACTCTAATTGATTAGAAAAGATTAGGGTGGATATCCTTTCATTTAATAGGGTGGAATTGGTTGAAACCCTAGCTATATAACCAAGAAGCAGTCCCTGCTTCCATACCAACTGAGAGCTCGTTTGGATGTGCTTTTCAAATTACTGAAAGCACTTTTAGAAAAAATGTTTTTTTGGTTCCAAAAGCACATAAATTGTGCTTCTTCCAGGAAGCACTTTAAGTGCTTTTTCATAATTTATTTGCATTTTTACTAAGACTTGATCCTAAAAATATTTTCATCGAGAGCGCTTTCATTCATTTCAAAAGCATATCCAAACAAGCTCTAAATCTCACAAAACAACAAACCTGTTTCGCTAGTTAGTAGAGTTTATAAAACAAGTATTGGAAGTAGAAGACTACTTCAATTTTGCACCAAAAGCACTCATGGCGACAGGTAAGTACTTCAGGATCATATGCATGCATGTCATTACTCATTAATGCCATTCTACGTGCATAAGCGAGTATAGTCTGCAAATTGTTTTCTTTTGTAATCCTAATACTATACCGTTAGATTTGGGATATTCTTACACTCAAACCATGAGAAATTCAAAAAACAATATTTAATTTATAAAAATTTTGTGAAAAATGTAGAAAACTATATTAGTTTATGTTTTGTAGAACATCAAAATAATGTTGACTATGTACTCAAAAACAAATTCCAGACTAATAGAAAATAAGGGTATTCTTGGTAACGTTTAACAAAAATGAATTTTGAAGAACAATTAAGAAAAACGAAAATGATAAATAGGATTTCTCATTTCTATGACTTAAGAATGCATTTGGTATTTTAATCCGTGATTGTTGAGAATGAAAACATTGAAACATGTATGTTATCAAAATCCAAAGTGTCAAAAAATAAGAAATTCGTGTTTGGTAGAAACATTCTTGTAATATAGATTTTAAGATAGTGGTGAGAATCGATGCTCCAAAAGTCGTTTGTAGTCCGCCTGCTGGAGGATCTTGCATCAAGAAATGCAACGAAAGATATGTGATACTATCTTGTACTCACAACTCTGGAGAGCGTAGGAGAGTGTAAAGTGAGGAGACGGACTGGGGATGTGTTGTTTCCAGTTATTTTAGCACCATCACCTTCAAGCTTTTCAGGGGAGAGATTGTAGAGGGGGTTGTTCACAAAGTTGTTAAACATGGAGTTTTTTGAGTTGTGGTCCAGTTGAAAACATGTACGTCTCTAAGGTGAAGGTGCCGGATTATGACTATGTGCCTGGGGAGAACCCTGTTTTCACGAACAAGATGTCTAAACTTGAGAAGGGCACCATGGCACGCTAACAATTTTGGTTGTTCACTCTTTGGTATGTTAATATCCATTGAACTAACTTTTGATGTCTTTGTTAACTATATCCTTGAGAAATATATAAGATGTTGGGAAATTTAGTGCGAATCTCACATATGTAATTATATGAGGGAAGCAAATTAGACTTTGGTGATAATTTTTAAAAGTGTTAGGTGAAAAGTCTTGGGGTAGTAAGATTTTTCTTCATGCATGTAAGGTTGTGTCGGATCAAAACGCCTATATACAGAGGTATGTCTGCAACCTTATTGCAACACACAAGATCAAAAGTGAAAGTAATAATACCAATATTTCTCCCCTCTTTTACCAGCATCTTCCTTTGTGTGATACATTGCACCCGTTCCACTTCTATCTCTAACAAAAATTATCTCTCTCTCACTTTTCCCTATTTATAACATAGGAGTCGTTTGCATTTTCTGTCTACAATGTTTTCATTTTTTAGCAAAAAATCAGATTATTAGTAGTATTATTTTTTGGTCAGCATGGAGGCCAAACCCCAAAAGACGAGAGATACTCTTGTCGACGAATTATCAAATGAAAAGTCTCTATTTGATGGATTATTCACTTCTGACTACATGGTAGTCGTTGATTAGTTAGCAACGTCACTTGAATTATGAATTAGTTATAAGAGAGAAATTCATCCATAAGAGACAAAAACCACATCAAAAGATTCCAGTGTGAATATTTCTGATACATACACTTTTCAAACACCTCCTAGGCTCCCTTATTTTATGAAATAATTTTGTACTTTTTTTATTTTGGCTTATAAATAAACTCGAAGCAGTGTTTGCTGCCTAAACTTATAACATAATGCAACCAAATTTGATATAATTCCTTTCAAAATTGGATGAATTGAATTCACTGTGACTGAATGTTTCCATCCGAGTCAATAGCAACCGCAAAAACAGCCGATCTGTTGTTTTGCATCTAAGATTGACTTGGATTGAATAACTCCGTATAGATGAAATGAATGTTGAATGAAGAAATAGATGTCAACTTGCATTAATGAAGGCTCATATGACAAAACCGAAATTCACTCAAATGGACCTTGTACATAAGTGAAGGTAGTACCAGTTTAATGTGAGGCCCAGCCTGGGAAGGCCCAAATATTCGGCAGAGCCGAGCCGAGCTGAGCTGACCGAGGAGGCCAAAAAGCGAAAGTTGAGTGTCAATCAGTCGTGCCCCCGAAGTTTGAGAGCTTCATGAGCAGAAACTAGAAAGTTGAGTGTCAATGGCGTCTCTCTATTGCTCTCTCTCAGACGGAGCAGCGGCGTCAGCAATGTTAGCGTTGTTGTTGGTGTTGGAAGATTTCTGTCGTCAGGAGGAGCAGGTGCTGTGAATACTGAGTTTGTCCAAGATTCTGAGGGAAGTGACGACCTCAAGAGCAGAGTGTTGAGGCTCAGGCAGCCCAAGCGAAGCACCACCAACGTCCTTCAGAGATGGGTCTCCGAAGGCAACCAAATTTCCATCAAGGACCTCCGCCAGATCTCTAAAGACCTCAGCAAGTCTCACCGTTACAAGCACGCCCTCGAGGTTGGACTCTGTTCTTGTTAGCATGTCGTGATTGCTGTTTAATCGATATGTTGTCAATATTTGATTCAGTTCAGCAATTGGGGTTTGATTTCTGATTAACGTAGACCTTTTGATGAGAACTTTATTGTGTTTGGTGGGCAAGAAAACGATGGAAAGTTGAAAAATTGGATTGTGACTCCCTAGTGTTGTTATCTCTTTGGAGTAGTTGCATAATCTTAGGGCTAATTAACTTTTTTCATTGCCACCTTGTTCATCTGCAGCAGAATACATGCTTTCTAGAATAGAATAGAACAGGACCAAGGAATGGTTAAATGAATAAGATTGCGCTGTAATAGATTGAATAAAATGCGAAAATTTGGTGGAAATGAGGATTTGCAAATTCCAATTGCAGAAATGAGTCAAACAAGGACCACATATCGATCAAACATTAATGATGTTGTTGATGAAATGTTCACACTCTATTGATAAAATCCCAAAATGTGATCATTTTAGGAATTGGGATTTGTAATTTCATCATTTCAGTCAATTCCCAATAAATATTACATTTACAATAGAAAGGGTTGGCTTTTTTCTTTTTTTCTTTTTACAGGGTTTAAATGATTTGGTGTAAATTTCTTAATCCAAGTATTATGTTAAGTCATAGGGTAAGCATGAGCATTGAAAAACGGATAGTAACTCTCCCGTTTAAATCCCTATAAGTTTTTCCAATGTAATCTTCATATGCCACTTTCAGTTCTCTGTTTCTATCATAATTTCTGAGTGTTCATTGGATTCTATTTTGTGATTTGTACAAGCTTGCAGATATCCGAGTGGATGGTCAGCCATAATGATTTGGAGTTATCGGATTCTGACTATGCAGTCCGCATTGTCTTGATGACCAAAGTTTTTGGCATCGATGCAGCAGAGCGCTACTTTGAAGGTCTACCTCTTACTGCAAAAACAAATGAGACATATACTGCTCTCCTCCACTCTTATGCTAGGGAAAATTTGACGGAAAAGGCTGAGAACCTCTATGAGAGAATAAAAGGATCTAACCTGTCCCTGAGTGCCCTTACATACAATGAGATTATGACTCTGTACATGTCAGTGGGGCAAGTTGAGAAGGTCTCTGTAGTTGTGGAAGATCTGAAACGGCACAAGGTTGAACCGGATATCTTTACATACAATCTTTGGATTAGTTCATGTGCTGCAACTCTAAAGATTGATCAGCTTCGACAGATTTTAGTTGAAATGAGACATGATCCTGGTTTTGGTGAAGGCTGGGAGAGATATATTAACCTGACAAATATATATGTTAGCGTTGGGCATCTTGTGAATGCAGAGTCCAACACTCTAGTAGTTGAAGCTGAGAAAGGAATCACACAAAAAGAATGGATTACATATGACTTTCTCATTATTCTTCATGCTGGTTTAGGAAATAAGGAAAGGATTGATCAGATATGGAAATCCTTGATAATGACTGGACAAAAGATGACAAGTAGAAACTATATTTGCATTCTTTCTTCATATCTAATGCTTGGGCAGTTAAAAGAAGTCGGAGAAGTTATTGATCGGTGGAAGCAATCAACTACTACAGAGTTTTCTATTACTGCCTGCAGTAGGGTTTTGCACGCTTTCACAGACATTGGGTTGACTGAAAAGGCCCACAACTTCAAGACAATTCTGATTCAAAAGAATTGTGATCCTTCAAATTCGTTAGAGTATAACTGAAAATCAGTTTTGGTGGAGGTAATGGAACATATATGTGACAATTTTATGATGTCTGGATTGTTTTGAAGAGGGAATAATTTAGAGTTCTTACAGGCTTCCATATATCAAATGACTGAATAATACGCCAGCATTCAGTGGGTTAATATTTCTGCTGTGTTGTTTCTAGGTTTAAGTCTCAAGTACTGTCTTATGGAAAATTAAGGTCTGTTTATCCTTCCCATCATTTGTTCCATTGCAAGTGCAGTGTACTCCGAGATCATCATACATCATTGCAAGTCAGGTAAGATCGATATGTTAACTATTATCCATATGATGATTTTAATACTCATATATACCTTAGAGATGTAAGCATTGTGTTATAGATTCTGGCAATTACCTGGACCACGAAATTAAATATGCCCGATGTTTATAGAACATGTAATAACAGCGGTTGAAAATTGTTTTTCATGGTAGTTACGAGTGAATTGATTGAAAAAGTTATCCACAAAAGTGAGTTAGTAGCACTTGAAGCATTCTAGAGTCATGTTTCGTCAACTTCATGATACTACAATTGTTGAAATTCTGTTCCCCCGTTTGTATTTTTACTTTTTAATTCATTCTATGATGGCATAGGAAGTAGAAGACTTTGCATCTAATACTTTTGGAACTTATGAAAATAGTTAATGGAACGCATCAACATATCATTTGTAGGTAACTCAAGGATGAAAAAAAGATGTCGTTACAAAAGTGACAACATGGAGTCGAAGCAAAAAGAGACTGCATGCTGTGTATGTTGTAAAACTGAGAAAATTTGAAGCATGTGTGATCGCATCGTTTGTAAGTTGTAACCATATTTGTTTGGCAGCTGATGTTTACTTTGACAACATCTTTTGTAAGTCACTCTACACCCGGGAACTCAAGACTCGTTCAACTTTGGTGAGATTTATGTCTATTCTGTCAGAGGTGTTAAGTTACCTCACACTACTCTAATTCCCCCTAACGAATTTCTCACTTCTCGTCCATCGGTCTTAGGGATGGTTTGGGGTTGAGGTGATTTTAAAAAAAACTGGTATGAAAAAAAGCTGGGAGAGTTTTTGGTGTTTGGTAAACACCCCAAATCAGTTTTTTTTCAAAGTTTCAAATGAAAAAAAGCTAAAAGGTGGAAGCTATAAAAGGCAGCTTCAAAAAATGGCTTATTGTGGAAGCTACCAATATTGCCCTCCTTTCTCCTTTCTCATTTCTCCTGATTCCTCTCAGGAGGGAGAACAACTTCGTGGCCAGACGACATGTACGGCGTGGCCAGAAATTTCAGAGGAGCTGCCTCCAGCGAGCCTGCAGTGCTGACGTCGCTCGGGTTGAGTGGTGATAATAGTTCGAGTCCCCCGATTCCATTGGTGGTGGGGCTGTCAAGAACAGCCTATTGAAGGAAAAATTGGTGGTCCACGAGCGCTATCATTGAGTATGATAGAATCAATTCTGCAGCCAATTTTATCCTCAGAGTGTGGATGATGAGCAAGAAGCCTTTCCACCTCAATCTTTTCATCTTCCTTCATCAGCTGCTCACCATCCATATACCTATCAGAGTGCAGAATCTCCTTGGCTAGCAAAACGACGAGCTCGATGTCGTTTAAAATCTCCCGTTCCTTTATCTTTCCACTTGCAGTAGTCAGGGTCGTCCCAGCAAGGGTAGTTCGGTGGCCCCTTCACGCATAGCCTCTCAGCGTGGACCTCTCTGCGGAGGACAATGGACTCTCCGGCTGAGTCGACTCGCTCGCCCCGTTGCACCATGCCCTGTCGCTCAGGATCGCAGGCCCAAGGCCCAGGCGTTGGTGGTGGACTCGCGCACAGAGGAAAGAAACTGTATGCAGCAGCAACGGGTTCAGAGTTGTTATTCGCGTCGTTGTCGTCATCTCATTGTTTGAGTGGCATCAATGTATGGTGGATCATGGTAGTGACTGTGCAGGTGTTTGGTTCTTAGGTTTCTGTAGATCACGGTGGAGGTTGTGAGGATTTCATGGTGGTGTGATGAAAAAATGAACGAAACATCTAGTATTATAAAAGGTCATTTCACACAGTCACAACTATTTTACATAAAAATTTACCAAACACTATCATACTGCTTTTTTTTTCAAAAACACTTTGACAAAAAAATTTACTAAACACTCTACTACTTTATTTTATAGTTGTTTATTCTCACAGCACAGCAGAAGTAGCTTTTTTTCAAAGTACCTTGATCAAAATTTGAAAAGGAGTAGGATTTTAATCAATGGAGTAGCAAAAGGAAGGATGAGAACCTAATTTCTCAAAAAATAAATGATGGAAAGAGAAATAGTTAATTTGATCCACATATTTTGCTTAAGGGGGCTTTAAGCACGGGAAGACAAAACCATGTGATCCCTCTTGAGCTCTTGTTCCCTTCTATACCCCATCCGGATCGCCTTCACCATATATTTTCTCCAATAGAGGATATTGTACAAGTCTCTTCAACTATATATACCGTATGAACTCATTGGTTAATGACCACCAAATTAAGTATACAACATCACGTCTAATTTTCCTTGTTTCACAAGTTCCTTGAGATGTTCCAGTTTATATAAACTCAATTACCAGTCTTCTCTCAAGATTCACAACAATGGGGTTCCGTCTTCCAGCTGTAATTCCTGCTGAGAAACTTCTTCGACGCTCTTTTTCAAATTCAAGTCAAGGAGCTTTGTATAATTTAGCAGATGTCCCAAAAGGTTATTTTCCAGTTTATGTTGGCGAGAGTGAGAAGCAGCGGTTCATTGTTCCTATATCCATCGTCAATCAGCCTTCATTTCAAGACTTGCTAAGTGAGGCTGAAGAAGAATTCGGATATGATCACCAAATGGGGGGTTTAACAATTCCCTGCAGACAAGATACCTTCATTGATCTCATTTCCCACTTGAGTGCATTGTGAGACTGGATATTTAATGGAGAACAATTACATCAACTGTGTGTTTGTTACAATTTTGTACACCAGACATATCCCCATCTTGTACAATTTTTTTTCGATCCAGGAGGAAGAAATATTGTCCCCCTGGAATCGATTATGTAAATGGAGACTCTAGTAATATTCATAGCTTCTTTACAATAAAGAAATATTGTCCCCCAAAAATCGATTATGTAAATGGAGACTGTAGTAATATTCATAGCTTCTTTACAATAAAGAATTATTGTCCCCCTGGAATAGGATTTTGTAAATGGATAAATTTCTTCTACAGATTCTCATAGTTAAGTTTTCAATAGAGCTCTTTGAATAGCTATTAGTATATTAATCTGCTAGATAGCAGTCAAATTTTTCAGTAGGAGTATTCTCCTTTATGTCCAATTGCGACTGCAATTTGTTAATACTTGAGGTGTATGATTGAACATGAAAATTTCCCATGACATTTAGAAATGTTAAAAACGTATAAAAGGCTCGTTGTTTCCAGCAGTCTTAAATCCTTCCCCCTAACCCTGCTTCCATTCGGTCTAGCCCACTCAAGGTACTTAGGGCCTGTTTGGGATTGAGGTGCTTAAAAAAAAAGCTACTATGAAAAAAAGCTATGAAAATTTTTGGTGTTTGGTAAACTTTGAAAAACAGCTTTGTTTCAAAGTTGAGGGTGAAAAAAAGCCCAAAACCAAGAGATGACAAGAAGCTACAATTTCCAGCTTCCAAAAGCAGCTTATTTTCACCCACACACGGGTGAACAGTGTCCATGTTTAATGAAATATACCATAACCCAAAACTGCCCTCGGCTTTCCCTTCACCGACGCTCTCGCCTTTCTCCAGAACTCTCTCGCGCACGCTCTTCACCTCAGAGCTCTCTCGCATAACCCGAACCTCAGGCTCTCTCTCGTTCTCTCGTTCTCTCGTTCCGTCGTTCCAAAAACTAGCGAACTCGTTCTCTCGTTCTCTCGTTCTCCAGGTTTCTCCAAGTAAGCTTCTCATTTATTTGTTTGGATTTTTCAAATTAGGGATGGGGAGATTAGGGAAAGAGGGGTGGGAAGAGCAAAGGGATGAGGGTATGGGTGTCGGGAAAAACAATTGGGGATGGAGGGTGGGGAAAAATTAATTGGGGAAGGGTGATATGGTTTGTGGAAAAAATTAATTGGGAAAAAATTAATTGGGGAAAAAATTAGGGTTTGTGGAGGAAACAAAAAAGGTCTGCTTCTGATTCTGATTTGGGTGTTTAGGTGTTTAGAGCACATAAATGACATGCACTTCTAATGGTCATGTTAATGGTATCCTCGCAAGGCTAGTGAGTGTAGCCGATAAAGACAACAATGGCATAATTGAGTATACAAGAACTCATTTACAACCTCGTTAGCCTTTCATTTGGAAATCTATTAGGAAGGTACACAAGAATTAGTAGCAATGGATGAATGCTCTGACTTGATTCATCAACGTGTTTCACATAGGATTAAGCATTGATTAGTACTGTTATTGATTAGGTGAGATCAAAGAATGTTACTTGTATGCAAATTAATTTACTCCCTGTGGTGATTAGTGATATTTCATGGCCAGTATAAAAAAAGAATTAAAGAAAGTGTAAATGACCGAGGGCAGAAGGAAAGTAGCATATTCTCAACTATATTTGCAGAACAAGTAATAAGTACAAATGTTTCAAGTTCATATTACCTGCTGGCCGTGGTGTCAATAAATTTGTATCTGTTGGGCTGGCCACTTTTATCCTCATCTCCCAAGGGTTTGAAATTGTATCTAATGAATTTATCAAAAGCCTCTTCCGTCGGAAGATGCAAAAATTGGAACCAAAAATTTGTCCGAGTTGGCAACTCGCTTTTGTACAAGCCGATAAATGAAGCCTACGTAACCTTCTTCTTATACACTGAAGCAAGAGGTGAAATCAAGGTATCTTCACCGCACAGGATTGTGATAGCACCCATGGGATGATCATACCCAAATTCTTCTTCAGTTCGACTTATCAAATCTTGGAATAAAGGTTAGTTCAAGCATGAGATTGGAATCACATATCGCTTAGCTTGTTTGGGCCCTCCCCAACATAGACTCAAAAAAGTCTTTAGGAACGTCCAAGGCCTTCGAAGGTACTCTGTTTCTCTTAGGAAAGAAAGATTTGAGATGATTAGGAGTTGGGAATTAGAAGAATCATGCTTTTAATTTGCTTCTTACTCTTATCATATGTATGTATAATTGTACTTATAGATAAATTGGCTTGTCAAAAGCCATTTGTTAACTAAAATCATTGGTGATAAGCCATCAGGATGGATGCAATGAAAAGACATCAGCTCAAGCAAAATCAGATGTCAGATTAAAACTAAAATAAACAATTGAAGCATTTTGGAAGGATAAATATAAGCCTAGAAAATCAGAGACATACTGAAGACAAGGCATTTTCTTCTTCAGCTGCCTAATTAAACATTCAAGTTTTTGTACCACTTGGTAACTAATTTGCTTTTTATTTCATGTCCAAACAGAAAAAAACTAAAAGGACCGATCTGTCAAACAATATCTCAAGTAGTTGATGTGAGTGGTCTTGAAGCAATTGATTTGGGATTTTTAAGAGACATATAGCATTGGATCAAAGTTCACATGGCTTGGTCTTCCTATTCATCACCAACACTCCTTGGTAGTGATTGAGACTTCATATATCTGCCTCCTAACAAACAAAAATATGTGACCGAAAGAGAAATTGTTAATTTGATCCGTATATTTTGCCTAAAGGATTGATGGGAAGACAGAACCATGTGATCCCTCATGAGCTATTGTTCCCTTCTATACCCCATCCGGATTGTCTACACCATATGTTTTCCTCAATACATAAGGATATTTTCCAAGACTTTTCAACTATATATACCATATGAATGCATAGGTTTATGACCACCAAAGTAAGTCTACAACTTCTCAGTATAAGTTTCCTTGTTCCGAAAACTCCTTGTGATCTTCTTCAAGTCTCTGTAAACTTGATTACAAGTCTTTACTCCCAAGATTTACAACATGGGGTTCCGTCTTCCAGCTGTGATTCCGGCTAAGAAACTTTTTCGGCGATCTTTTTCAAATTCAAGTCAAGGAGCGTCGTATAATTTATCAGATGTCCCTAAAGGTTGTTTTCCAGTTTATGTTGGTGAGAGTGAGAAGCAGCGGTTCGTTGTTCCTATATCATTCCTCAACCACCCTGCATTTCAAGACTTGCTGAGTGACGCTGAGGAGGAATTCGGATTTGATCACCCAATGGGCGGTCTAACAATTCCCTGCAGACAAGATGCCTTCCTTGATCTTATTTGTCGCTTGAAAGCATTGTGAGATTGGATAATGGAGAACGATTACATGAACTCGTCTCTGTGATTGTCACAATTTTGTGCAATGGAATATTTACACATTTTTTTCCGATTGAGGAGGGAGAATTATTCACCCCAGATCGGATTTGTATGTAAATGTAGACTTTAGCAATATTCATTGCTTCTTTACAATATAGAAAAACATTCCTTATCTACTTCTTGTTTATGTTCGTTCAAGTATCCACTATGTGATTAACCGTGATATCGTTTCTTGCGGTTGTATTCTGCAAATGAGCATCAAAGTGTTTCTATTCGGTCTGACGAATCAACTGATTTAAGTTTGCCTAAAGGGATTTGTCCAATTCTTGTTCGTAAATTGTTTTTTTTTCCTAAAATTAAAGTTTATACAGTTAGGAGAGAACAAATTATTATAATCGGATTAAGGTTTATTGTTAGGAGGGATTTGCCTTTACTGTCATCAACCCTAAGGGCGAGTTTGACATTGTCCTGCTTTTTTAAAAGAATAATGTTAGGCACATCAAATTTCTGCACCAAATGATGTGGAACCAATCAAATTTATATTTTGATTCAAGTTGAAATTTGATTAATAATTTTAATAAAATTTTATATAGTGTAGAATGTGCCACATCATCTGGTGCACAAATTTGGTGTATGTAGCCATTGACTCGATTTGGTTTGAGATTAGCTTTATTTTCCCTTTCCCACCTGAGACACCCTTACCATTTGCTACTGACACTTTGTGGAGTTTTTCATTTTTTTCAAAGTCATGTAAATGTGAAGAAATTTTATTTGTCATATAATATGTGGCTCTTGAGTCTATTATCTAGTAATCATGCACAAGACTACCACTTAAAGCAGCTGGGAAAGCTTTTAGTATACTTGGGATATCTTGAGACACCATGATCATAATTAGCTAGAAACCTTGCAAATTTACTCAGCAATGCAATTGGATTCTCAACTCCAAGCCCATATGCATTCTTGTGATCAACACCTATTTGTTTGCCTGGTAGATAGACAGCAAACTCATTGATCTCGTTTACTGGATTTGAGGTGAAGTCAAGCAAACCTTCACTTAAGGAAGAAGGAACAGCCATAGTTGCATGTTTTGCCTTGTACATGGATGTTTGCGAATTTCTCTGAGAACCCTTGTAGTCCTTCTGGAATTTTGGCTTGAGCTCAGGATGTAGAATCCAACATCTGTCAATAGGATGTCCACCACCATTGCAATGTTTGCACTTCAGATCAGACCTCTTACCCTTGTAGCTGCTATGATCAGAAAACTAGTGGTTTGAAACATATGCCCCAGATTCAGGCAAACTGTTATTTGTTTCAAGATTCATCACTTTCTTTTGAGTTTCTTCACACAAAATAAGCACAAGCACACACACTTGAGAATGAGGGCAACTCAGTGTTCATCAGAATGTGGCTGCAGAAATTTTCATAATATAAGCTGAGACCAGCCAAGAGTTGAAAGATCTTATATTCTTCAACTCTCTTCAGAAGAACAGGAGCATCAGCAGTGTGAAATCTATACACATCGAACTCATTCCACATACCTTTGATAACACCTAAGTGTTGAACAAATGACCTACTTTCTTGTTGCAAACCAACAATATCCTTTTAAGATGGAAGATTCAAGCATCGATGTTTTGATTACCATACATCTCATTGACATTCTTCTAGGGATGAAATGATGACTCTAAGTAGTTGAGGATCTCAACAAGCTTCCTCTCCATGGAGTTAAGGAGCCAAGACATGACAAGTTGATCCTTGCATAGCCATTTCTCATACAAGGGTGAAGGGATTACAGGTGCCTGGATGGTTCCATTAATGTAACCAAGCTTCGATCTTCCACCAAGAGCAAGTGTAACTGCTCGTGACCATGGAAGGTAGTTGAACCCATTTAGCAAAAAAGTTTTTGGTTGGGGCTAACTTAATTCCACTTTAGTAAAATTGAAGTGGGTGAAACACTAGAACTTTCAGCATCAAGACTAAAAGGATTTTCCTCAGTCATTTGAAAGAGCTAGAGGAAGATGAAGAGGTTGAAGAAGATATGCATAGACAGGCCACTAGGGTCACAACTCTTATACCATGTTGAATTTCAAGGTATGTATATTGATTGTAGTATGATTGACAAGTGTGAAGACTCCTATAGAGAGCCAAGAAAACTGGCTACAAAACCAATAGACAAAGAACATGCAATCCTTGTTTACAACAACTACAACAATCCCATGATTATGCCACTACTACAAAAGGGGGCTATAGCGTCGGAGGGTGGTGTCACTTTAATCTAATATAGTAGCGGATTAGGCAGTTGCGACACTAACAGAACATGACGTCGGATTTACTGTCGCTTATAAGCGTTATTAAATGTTTATGTCGCTTTTAAACCGACGTAAACATATATTTTAATAATTTTTAAATACTAGTGTCGCTTTTAAACCGACGTAAACATTATTTTAATAATTTTTAAATACTAGTGTCGCTTTTAAGCGACATAAAGTGTGTATATATATATATATATATTAAATTATATATATATTAAATTAAATTTTATATCCCTAAAAACTATAATAATTATATATATATATATATATTAAATTAAATTTTAAAAAATTGGTGATCATTGGATTGGCTTAAATATACATACGATTCAATTTCTTAAGTGTTATACATACAAAATAAATAAATTTAAATCTACTTAATATATATATACACACACACACACCATTGAACTTGATTGGATACGAATTCTATGAAACTAATTTCGACAGTTATAAACGAAAAATCACGATTTAACGGTTATTTTAACTCCGATTTTGATGATTTTTTACAGCTACACTCCTGACCCTATATGAATACAATGAATGGATTCGATCTTCAAATTAAAATATTTACACAAGTGGATACCACAAAATCTTATGTTATACTTAATGAAAGTATAAATAAACTCTAAGTGTTAGTCAATCTATTGTTTTGATGGGATACAAATTCTCGGAAACTAATTTCAACGATCCCAACCGTCAAACTTGTTTGCATATGCTTCGAGATCACATCAGCAAAAAATCACAAAAAACAAACATTCAGAGATCAAGTAACGGGACAAAGCTTTTCGACGGTTATAAACGAAAAATCACGATTTAACGGTTATTTTAACTCCGATTTTGATGATTTTTTACAGCTACATTCCTTGACCCTATATGAATAGAATGAATGAATTCGATCTTCAATTTAAAATATTTACACAAGTGGATACCACAAAATCTTATGTTATACTTAATGAAAGTATAAATAAACTCTAAGTGTTAGTCAATCTATTGTTTTGATGGGATACGAATTCTCCGAAACTAATTTCAACGATCCCAACCGTCAAACTTGTTTGCATATGCTTCGAGATCACGTCAGCAAAAAATCACAAAAAACAAACATTCAGAGATCAAGTAACGGGACAAAGCTTTTCGACGGTTATAAACAAAAAATCACGATTTAACGGTTATTTTAACTCCGATTTTGATGATTTTTTACAGCTACACTCCTTGACCCTATATGAATACAATGAATGAATTCGATCTTCAAATTAAAATATTTACACAAGTAGATACCACAAAATCTTATGTTATACTTAATGAAAGTATAAATAAACTCTAAGTATTAGTCAATCTATTGTTTTGATGGGATACGAATTCTCCGAAACTAATTTCAACGATCCCAACCGTCAAACTTGTTTGCATATGCTTCAAGATCACATCAGCAAAAAATCACAAAAAACAAACATTCAGAGATCAAGTAACGGGACAAAGCTTTTCGACGGTTATAAACGAAAAATCACGATTTAACGGTTATTTTAACTCCGATTTTGATGATTTTTTACAGCTACATTCCTTGACCCTATATGAATAGAATGAATGAATTCGATCTTCAATTTAAAATATTTACACAAGTGGATACCACAAAATCTTATGTTATACTTAATGAAAGTATAAATAAACTCTAAGTGTTAGTCAATCTATTGTTTTGATGGGATACGAATTCTCCGAAACTAATTTCAACGATCCCAACCGTCAAACTTGTTTGCATATGCTTCGAGATCACGTCAGCAAAAAATCACAAAAAACAAACATTCAGAGATCAAGTAACGGGACAAAGCTTTTCGACGGTTATAAACGAAAAATCACGATTTAACGGTTATTTTAACTCCGATTTTGATGATTTTTTACAGCTACACTCCTTGACCCTATATGAATACAATGAATGAATTCGATCTTCAAATTAAAATATTTACACAAGTAGATACCACAAAATCTTATGTTATACTTAATGAAAGTATAAATAAACTCTAAGTATTAGTCAATCTATTGTTTTGATGGGATACGAATTCTCCGAAACTAATTTCAACGATCCCAACCGTCAAACTTGTTTGCATATGCTTCAAGATCACATCAGCAAAAAATCACAAAAAACAAACATTCAGAGATCAAGTAACGGGACAATGCTTTTCGACGGTTATAAACGAAAAATCACGATTTAACGGTTATTTTAACTCCGATTTTGATGATTTTTTACAGCTACATTCCTTGACCCTATATGAATAGAATGAATGAATTCGATCTTCAATTTAAATTAGTTTTTTTAAATATTTTGAAACCCAGTGTCGCTTTTAAGCGACATATTGATTTAAATTAGTTTTTCGTTTTATAACCATCGAAAAGTTCCATAGAATTTGTATCCCATCAAGTTCAATGGTGTGTGTCTATATATATATATATATTTATTAAGTAGATTTAAATTTATTTATTTTGTATGTATAACACTTAAAGAAATTGAATGGTATGTATATTGAAACTGATCCAACGGTCACCAATTTTTAAAATTTAATTTAATATATATATATAATTATTATAGTTTTTAGGGGTATAAAATTGTTACATTAATATATATAATTATTATAGTATTTTTTAGGGTTATAAAATTAATATATATAAAATTATAGTATTTGAAATATTAGGCGGGAAATTTCCCGCTTGTTTGAATGGATGGAGAGACTTAGTGTCGGTTTTAACCGACGCTAGTGTCATTAAAGCGACGCTATGTGAATTTCAAAAAGTGTGTCAGAAGTTGGCGTCGGTTAAAAGCGACGCTAGTTTCATTAAAGCGACGCTAGTTTCATTAAAGCGACGCAAGTTTCATTAAAGCG